CTGTTTGTCGGCTCAGCGCGGCAGCCATGTAAATTTAAATGAAGCCACGATTATTTAAATCGTGGCTTCATTTCTCTTTGCCGATCAGCCTAATCTACATGGCTCCATCAATGGAGCCATGTAGTTTAGACACACCCTAGGAGTCAGCCCAGCTGGCTTGGGCTGGCTTTAGTTAATTCTGTGTTATGAAATAAAATGGACTGTTTGTCGGCTCAGCGCGGCAGCCATGTAAATTTAAATGAAGCCACGATTATTTAAATCGTGGCTTCATTTCTCTTTGCCGATCAGCCTAATCTACATGGCTCCATCAATGGAGCCATGTAGTTTAGACACACCCTAGGAGTCAGCCCAGCTGGCTTGGGCTGGCTTTAGTTAATTCTGTGTTATGAAATAAAATGGACACTTGCAAATGCTCAAGCTCTGTGTTTTCAGTGATTTCTTTCTAAACTGTAAATATAACACCCCAGTCCTTTGCTGCACCGAGCATTCCTGGTTAGCTAACCTGCATTTTTCCCTGCCATTTCAACTGCTTCAATTTTCTTTGGAACTTCCTGTCCTAAACTGTTGTGCAATACTGTATTCTTCTCTTTCCATGTCACTAGCATCTGCTGTGTGGGGTAATAGAACTGTTTCATTCTGTTCCAGGGGGGTTGTGTGTCAGCTGTAGGTGAATTGAGCAGCTGTGTATGTCCATTTATGGGTGGGATTTTCCATAAGGCTTATTGTTGGCCTAACTCCTCTCCCACTCAAGTCAATTTTAAAATTCCAATTGATTTTGATTGGAGCAGACTTAAGTCATGCTTACTTAATTGAAAGTTCTGATCTACATCTGTCAAACCTTTTTGGGAACCTTTGGAATGCAAGATGCTATATTACCCTGGGAGGTGGTGATGTATTAAACATTGACTAGCCTGTCCAAATCAGTCTGTTCTCTGCCTCTTACATAAATAGTCTGTGGTTGGTGGTGCAGATTGTCATTTAATGGCTTCTCTTTCTGTCTTCTCTGCAGATCATGATCAGTAGATAGCAACCCACACCATGACCATGGCTCCCCGGAAAAGGAATCGTCATACGTTGGGGTTTCTTTGCTGCTTCGGGGGAAGTGACCTCCCTGAAATCAACCTCAAGGATAATAACCCCCTCCAGTTCTTGGAGTTCTCTGTCCCCATCCCACCAGCGGAGGAGCTCAATGCGAGGTTCTCTGAACTTGTGGTGAGTTTCTACCATTGATTGACCATATGTTTTATAGTGTTTGGAGAGTTTTCCCGTGGGGTAATGTGAACACTTTGGGGCAGGGACTTGTCTCTTTGCTCTGTATTTTCTATGGCACCTAGCACAATAGGATCCTAACCCATGACTGGAACTTTTACATCCTCTGAGGATAAAAACAAACACTTGATGATGCTGTCATGGCTCCTTCTCCACTCTGGCATGATTAATGCAGAAGTGGGGGCCAGCAGGTGTACCCCAAAGCCTTATCTACCAGGCTTTGGTATAAAACTTCCCCCAAAATCTTAAAACCCTAGATTTTGGGAATAAAACTTCCGCTGCCACCACCCAAATGTTAATAAAGGAATCAGGGGAAAGATCATTTGGGAAATCTCACCCCTAAAATAAAAATCAGGGCACACAGTTAACCAATGCCAGGTTAATAAAAAGAAAAGAAAGAACTTTTATTATTACATCAATATTCCTGTTGCAAGCATAATGACTAGATGGGAAAGTAACAACATATACTCATGGAGAAACTCCATGCACCTAGAACTTAGTTACAAAGAAAAGCCAAAACATATTTTAAAACATATACAGATCTCAGATCCCATACCCAAATCACAAAACAAGAAAACCTGACGGATTTATCTAAACTTTACCCTACTTACAAAAAATGAAGAATTGTTTCTGAGGGAGAGAGAAAGAGAGAGAGAGACATGTTTATCTCTCTTTGTAGCTGCAGAGAGTTCACACACAGAGAGACAAAGGAGGGGGAAAAAAAACCAAATTCCTTTGTCACAGTTTGAAAGTCCTACCTACATTCCTATTGGCCACTCCACCTGGCTAGGTGTAGTTAACCCCTTAGTCCCCAGGCTGCTGGCTAACCCTCATAATCATGACAGATGCTAAGGACTTCCTGGGAGCTGGGGAAAATCCTCCAGTGAGTTGCATACTCCGCTTCCATATATTGTGGTAGAATTTAATTAATCACTCTTGAATAAACTGCTGCTTTGAATAGTTCTTCGCTGAAATTCCAAGGGTGAAGCTGGGCAATTGCTTGGGCACCAATAATATTTCAGGTATGAATGGGATTCAGTTGTTAATGATGATGATTCTTTCTTACAGGGTTAGGCAGATTGCCAGATTTAGGGTTGGAATGCAGTTTTCCCAGGGCATACAGATAGGGCTACTTTTGGCATCACTGATGCCATTCCTGGTCATTGCTCCAGAGATCACTTTCATATGGCTGCCGTTGGAATGAAATGCACTCTCTTAGGGTATGTCTACACTACCCCGCTAGTTCGAACTAGGAGGGTAATGTAGGCATACCGCACTTGCAAATGAAGCCCGGGATTTGAATTTCCCGGGCTTCATTTGCATAAGCGGGGAGCCGCCATTTTTAAAACCCCGCTGGTTCGAACCCCGTGCAGCACAGCTACACGGGGCACGAACTAGGTAGTTCGAACTAGGCTTCCCAGGGGTTTTGATCTGGACATGGAATGGAGACTCTACCTTTCAGTGTTGTCCTGCTGGTGACAGATGAGAACAAAGTAACCATAGGGATTTTGTTGCATCTGTCAGCTGCCTTTGATACCTTTGGCCACAAGGTGGTGCTGACACAGCTGCAAGCGTGGGCAGCAATAGTGGGAGCTGTTCTAGCTGCAAAACAACCGTTTTGAGCAAATTCTCAGTTGCCCCAAGGTTCCTCTAATGTTGCATGCTGATTCCCTCAATTGGAGTTATATGCCAAGTCGTTTCTGCTCCAGCTTCTTCAAGATGACCAAACAGCTACAGTGGCCAAGAGGGCTTTGCATCCTGTATGGTTAGTCAGAAGGTTGCAACCTTTTCTGTTGGCTGTGGCTATCACCACACTGACCTAAGCTTTTGTCAGCTAGAGACTGGATTACTACAATGTTCTCTATAGATGGTTAACCGTTAGTGTATTGGAAACTGCAGATGGTGCTCAATATAAAAGCCTGCTTGCTGATTGGTGTCTCTTATGGGGGATTGCATTACCCCCAGTGTTCTGTGAGCTACATTATCTGCAATTTATTTTTGGGAACCGTTGGTAGTGTTGATTTTCTTACCTGCAAATCTTTAAATGTCTGGCCTTGACTAGCTCAACCTATCTTTCTATGAATATTGTACATGGTGGCTAAAATCAACCAAAACACTGCAGCTAGTTTTCCCAATGACGGTCTCTGAAGTGTTTGCTCTCCACTTTGGTTTGCCAGAACCTGAATCTGCTGATTCAGTCACACTTCCGGGTCTATGATTATTTGTCAGGTTTTTCCTGGTGGAAAGGATAAGTTCCTGGGTGGAGACTTTGCATGTGGAGGTGGGGGTGGGGGTGGAGGAACAGAAGTTAGAAGGAGTCATTATTATAGTGCATGTGTATGCCTAGTCCAGAGTCTACATTTTTTTTAAAAAAAAGAAGTAATTGAAATTGAAAACTGACCCAAATCAATTTCTATGTATTTCTTGATACCGTAAGAACTATAACTTTCTGAGGAATTAATTGTGGAAGAGAAGTTCTCTCATTCAGAAGGATAAAGAAGCATTGCTTAGTTTTGGAAGGTGCTCAAGTACTACAGTGATGGAAGTTGTCTAAGTTCCTAGAGAGGTAGATAGCGAGAAAATAGCGAAAGATTTCTGAATGTAGTTGCCTGAGATAGAAACTAGGCTGGCAGATTGCAGGATTTGCCCGGGAGGCCTGAGTCACCCACTGTTCCAGGCTAATGTATGTTCTCTGAAACACTAAAATAGAACAGACCACATTTGTATTGATGTCTAGGATGAGATTTTAATTGGATTAGAAAGGTTCAGTCTGTAAATGTGCCAGTGTAAATCAGCGACCTGGAAGTGTTTGGGGATGCTCTGCATTACACATCACTCTTTATCCTTTATGGTCTTTGAGACAAAAAATAAATATGATTGTGGAGACTTTTGACCCAAATCCCTGAGTAAAATGGTGGCACTGACACAGTCTGACATCTCTAGTGAGACAAATGTTGCATTGCATTCCCGGAGTATGTCCGGAGGGCATAGCTTGGCCTGCACCATCTGTTCTGTAAAATGGTGTAATGAAAAATATTCCTGCAATTGACTGCACTCCTCTCTCCTTTAAAAGCCCATGCCTGTTCTCCCTTTGTGCAGCTAAAATCTGGGGCATTGTCCCCCATTGTAGACAGCAATGTGGAAAACCTAAGCTTAGTTCACAGGATATTTTTCAGCATGGCCATTTTCTAGCCCAGTGACTATTCAGTATTCTGGACAGTCCACCTCCCTCTTTGAGGGAATTAGCTTCTGTAAAGGATCCCCTCGGGTGCCCAGGTAATGGGACATTGTAGCTCAGGTGCGTGTCTGTGTGCCTGCTCTTCTCATGATGTTAACTTCTTCTTCAAAGAGCTAGCTTTCTGGGAGCCCAGTCTTGCAAATTTGGAGATGGAGTTTGGACTATGTTGGGATACTTAATCTAGCAATTGGATGGTATGTTTGGGGTCCTGTCTCCCTAGTCAGGCTCGCTGTGAAAGAAAAGAGGGTTTTCATTCCCATCATGGGTGCAAACTGAAGCCATGGCTGATCTCACTGGAAATTGCCTTTTATGTGGCATGTACCATTTCCCAGTGGGACTGTTAACTCACAAGCCATCTTCCCACAGAGGTAGGCAGTACAAAGCAAATGCTGTTCCCATAATGTGTCCATGTCCAGTGCAGCAGCCCTAGACACAAAGCAAACAACCACCTTGGATCCTTGTGCTTCTTGGGTCTCTCTAGGACAACTAAGCT